TATGTGATAGTTTACATGGGAGAACATTAGTTTTACATTCATCCTATTGTATATCGTTTCATTGCCATGGTTACAATCCCCTCCATGCATCATCAGGCAATCAATGGATATACCCTGCAAGCCTGCCTCCCGGTCGTCAGCACACAGCCCTTCTCCCTCTCTGTATCTAAAGTCCCCAGGTGCTCCATCTCTCCACGTCATCTTCCCTGCCTCCATCTCTGGCATCCCTGTTTCTCTGGATACCTGGATATTTTTGATTCTTTCATTTTTTTTCTTCCCAGAATTCTCAAGTCTTTCCCCTCTTCCAATCTTTTCCCCCTGTCTTTGCTATGAAATCCCACCATCCCGGCCTCTTTCCAAGGAGATAGTGTTGAATTCATACCTTCCTCTGAGGATGACACCTCTCTTCCATGTTGTTGTGAAGTGCTGATGAGTTGGTTCCGACTCATAGTGACCCTGTATAGGGTTTCCGAGGAGCAGCTAGCTGGTGGGTTTGAACCGTCAGCCTTGTAGTTTGCAGTCCAGTGCTGATCCTGCAACGCCACACCGGGAGTTTCCCATTGGGAAAAACGAATTTTACTTCTTCACATCCAGCCTCGCATTTGAGTGTTGCATCCCACTGTAAACCCATCTCTTGTGCCTTTGTCATCTCTTTTCTTTCAATCTAATGTTCTTCATTAGTCCTAAACACTTAATTGTGCTCATGAGGAATCTGTACCTGGTCCAAGAGGCAGTTGTTCGAACAGAACATAAGAACACTGAATGTTTAAAATGAAAAAAGGTGTGCGACAGGGTTGGATTCTTTCACCATACTTATTCAACCTGTATGCTGAGCAAATAATACGAGAAGCTGAGTTCTATGAAGAAAAACGTGGCATCAGGATTGGAGGAAGACTCGTTAACAACCTGTGATATGCAGGTGATACAACCTTGCTTGATGAAAGTGAAGAGGACTTAAAACATTTACTGATGAAGGTCAAAGAGCACAGCCTTCGGTATGGATTACATCTCAATGTAAAGAAAACAAAAACCCTCACCACTGGACCAATAAACAACATTCTTATCAATGGAGAAAAGATTGAAGTTGTCAAGGACTTCATTCTTCTTGGATCAACTATCAACACTCACGGAAGTAGCAGTCAAGAAATCAAATGACATATTGCATTTGGCTGCACAAGACCTTTTTAAAGTGAAGAGCCAAGATGTCAGCTTGAGGACTAAGGTGTGCCTGACCCAAGCCATGGTATTTTCAATAACGTCATATGGATGCGAAAGCTGGACAGTGAATAAGGAAGACCGTAAAAGAATTGATGATTTTGAGTTATGGTGTTGGAGGAAACATTGAAAAGTTCTATGGGCTGCCAAAAGAACCAATAGATCCATTTTGGAAGAAGTGCAGCCAGAGTGCTCCTTGGAGGCCAAGATGGCCAAACTTCTTTTCTCATACTTTGGACATATTGTCAGGAGGGACCAGTCGCTGGAGAAGGATATCATATTTGGTAAGGTGGAGGGTCAGAGAAAAAGAGGAGGACCCCCCAACGAGATGGATTGGCCAAGTGGCAGCATCGATGGACTCAAGCGTTGCAACAGTAGTGAGGTTGGCTCAGGATCAGGCAGTGTTTCGTTCTGCTGTGCATAAGGTCGCTATGGATCAGTACCGACTCGATGGCACCTAACAACAACAAATGTTCTTCAGAGGTTCTGATTTCCGTTTTCTCACTTGGTTTTCTAACCCTTTCAAATTCCCTTCTTTCTAATAAGTTAAGTTCCTTCTGGTTCTTAGAGGAGCTGTCAAATTGAGATCTCCCTTGAAATTGTCAAACATAGACTTTTTTCTGTACATTTGACTTCTCTTCAGGAAACATTTCTGTGTTTCCCCAATATTTAAGAAGGCCTGGTGGCGCTGTGGGCTAGGCATTGGACTGCTAATTGTGCCGTCGTTAGTTCCAACCCACCGGCTGCTTTGCAGGAGAAAGAGACTGTCTGCTCCCATAAAGATTTACAGTTGTTTTTCAAGTGCTGTGCATTGGTCAGAACCAATTCATAGCAACCCTGTAGGGGGTTTCCAAGGAGTGACTGGTGTCTTTGATCCATTGACCTTGTAGTCCAGTGCTAATCCTACAGCACCACACTGAAAACCCTGTTGTGTTGTTGTTGTTAAGTGCCATTGAGTCGCTTCCAACTCATAGCGACCTTGTCCAGTAGGCTTTCCAGGGAGTTGAACCACTGACCTTGTGGTTCAAACCGACCGTGCAGTCCATCGCGTTAACCCACAGTGCCACACCAGGACTCCAAAGCCCTATAGATGGTGTCTGTTAGTCAGAATCAACTGGGTGGGTTTTGGGTTTGGGTTAGGGCTTGAGAATCATCTCCCCACCAAGAAAACTCCCAGTCAGCTTAGGTTGTCTTCTAGTACTATACATCTGAAACCCTAGTTATCCTGCACTTGCCTTGAATGTTTTCTATATACAGGGCCTTCTTCGTTTATGATCTCTGCTCTTCCTAATGATTTCTTACCCAGAAAAAAACATACTTAACACCTTGCATCCTCAGTTTTATCAAAAACAAGACTAGAGCTCTGAAGTGATGACTGAGCGTAAGAATCAACGCAAAGCTGGTCCCTAGGAGGCAGAACTCAAGTTCTCGATTTCTGCAGCGTTCCCGAGACCAGCCGTTCCTCCTTTGCATTCTCTTTGTCTTTGGGGTTTGGTAATCCATTGCAGTGACGTCACTGAGGCACCGTATCTGTGACAGCAGCTTTTAATATAATACAGAAGACTTACTGTTTACTAGGAAAGGTTGTAAATGAAGAAGCTTAGATGGTATATAAGATCCATGAGGGTTTCTGCCAGGTAAGCTGAACACCTCAAGGGCATTTGTTTCACCTCTTGGGAACAGATATTAATGTTCATCAACCAGGAAATGTCAGCAAGAACTGTTCTACAGTGTGACTCTTCTCACCTGGTCTCCAAATTCTCCTGGCCAGCTCTAGAAGAGTCCTCGGATGGTTTCTGGTCTTGGAGAGTCTGAAAGTTAGGTCAGCTACAACTCTAGGCTGCCTTTAAGACCTGTCTTGGTGTAGAAGTCACTTCATAAAACCACTTTTCAAAATATGCAGCTATTTTCTTTCTAGCTTTTCTTCCTGCTTTTTTTTTTTAAAATAGTTTACCATACTAGAATATAACCCCATTAACATAAAGAATAGTTTTCTGTATCCCTAACACCTTTACTATGTACATGTGAAACTTTGTTTACTTCCAAATGTAACATTCTGTATTCTCTTTTTTAATGTTTTATCATGAATTATGTGATAGTTCACATGGGAGAACATTAGCTTTACATTCATCCTATCAGATATCGTTTCGTTGCAGTGGTTACCTCCGTGCATCATCAAACAACCAAAGGGTATACCCTGCAAGCCTGCTCCTCAGTCGTCAGCATACAGCCCCTCTCCCTCTCTGGGTCTAAAGTCCCCAGCTGCTCCATCTCTCCATGTCATCGTCTCTACCTCCATCTCTGGTGTCACTGTTTCTCTGGGTAGGGTCCTGCTCTGCTCTTCTCCCTTGATGGTCCCAAGGACCTCCGCTCCTAGACTGAAAAGTCAACCACTCCCCTTCTTTTGCTACAAAACGTCTACCTTTACATTTCCAACCCTCACAGTCAGTCCTGATAGCAATTATTCACTATTGTTCCACATGAGTGGTATCCCCATTTCCTTTCATCAGCCCCATCCAGACAGATTGGATACTACTCAGTGGACATTCTACCTTCCTCTGCACCCTCTGGATCTAGGCTCCCTCTTGAAAGCTTGTAAGCCAGTCACTTCTTGCCTTTGTAGCTCCCCCCATCCCCCTTTTTGGGTAGTCAGTGTCCAAGTTGCCCATCCCTGTCTATCCTGTGTACTGAGGGGGTGGGAATGATCCTTCCTGTAAGGATTTGTACCCTCTTTTTTTTTTTTTTCTTAAATGTTTTATTGTGAATTATGTGATAGTTTACATGGGAGAACATTAGTTTTACATTCATTCTATCGTATATCATCTCATTGCCATGGTTACAATCCCCTCCATGCAAGGTCTTCAGCACACAGTCTCTCTCCCTCTCTGGATCTAAAGTCTCCAGCTGCTCCATCGCTCCACATCATCATCTCTGCCTCCATTTCAGGCATCACTGCTTCTCTGGGTAGGATCCCGCTCTCTGCTGTTCTCCCTTGATGGTCCTAGGGACCACTGCGCCTAGACTGAAAAGTTAATCACTCCCCTCCTTGCTATAAAACATCTACCTTTACATTTCCGACCCTCACAATCAGTCCTAATAACAATTCTTCACTATTGTATCACAAGAGACCCGTCTGCATTTCATTGCATCAGCCCCTCCTAGTCAGATTGAATACTACTCCCTGGAGAGTCTACCTTCCTCCAGGCTCTCTGGATCTAGGCTCCCTCTTGAAAGCTTGTAAGCCAGTCACTTCTTGCCTTTGTAGCCCCCCGCACCCCATTTTGGGTAGCCAGTGTCCAAGTTGCCCATCCCTGTCTACTCTGTGTGTGGAGGGGGGTGGGAATGATTCTTGCTGTAAGGACTTGTTCCCTCTTTTGAGCTACTGCTTCCATAGGTGTACGTCAAGTTCATCAAATTGTATCAGACTACGCTTTTTTTCCTCTGATTTCTTCTTCCAGTTGAATTCTGATCATCCAGTCATTGAAGCCAGGTCAAGTGGGTATTATCTGCAAGTGTGGGTACATTTTGTATTCTTCAAGTAGCCAAAAGATACCTGGTCTATACTTGTCTTTCAGTAAGGATTTGTTGAATCAGCAGATCTGTCTATTCTTCCCTGATTGTGTCATCGCCTCTGAGGTGTGCAGGACACAGTGGCTTTGTATTTTATATCCTCTGCATGTTTCCTAAGTCCTTTTGTAAGAAGCTGCTATATCTGTACTTACCACTTATTATTATATAACCTTGTTTCTACACTAACTGATTTTATTATTTGTGTTGTTTGTATAATTGTATTTTCATCAATATACAAGGAACATTAAGCCTGGTGGTATATTTATACTCACCGTCAGAGAATTATCACTAAAGATTCACCTTATATCGTCAGTGCATTTCTTAAAGTGACTTTATTCCGAATCAAGAGGATGGAAAGATTCATTGTTGTCTTTTTTTCCCCCTAGAAACTCAGAAAGTTGGTGGCCATCTGCTTGGGCACTCACAACACAAACGTTGGAGACAGAGAATGGAACAACACCGTGAACAGAATGCACTGGAAAACATAGTTCATTGGCACAAAAGTCATTTTCCTCGAAGGGAAACTCATGGTATGCTTGAATTACATGGAAAAGCCCTGAAATCACATTTAGCTTTATCAGCAGTCAACCAAAGCAGAGATGATGAAATAGCAAACTTAGCTGAGCTGAATGGAGTGAAGACAACTGTTCTTCACGCTGACCATGAGCGATATTATACTAAAATGAAATTCCCTGAGAGTCGAACCTCCAACAGCACCAAGTCCCACCTCATCAAGCCTCAGAAAAGTCACCAAATAGAAAAGCCACACGTGTGCCCTGAATGTGGGAAAGCCTTCATCAAGAAGTCTTTCCTTACTAATCATCAGATCATTCATACAGGTGAGAAACCACATATATGCAGTCTCTGTGGAAAAGCCTTTCCTAAAAAGTTTAGGCTCACGGAACATTACCAGACAACCCATAAAGGGCAAAAACCGCATAAATGCCCGGAATGTGGTAAAGCCTATGGCTATGAATCCGGCCTTATCAAACATCAGAAAACTCACAGGGGAGAGAAACCCTACATCTGCAGTGAGTGTGGAAAAAGCTTCTTCGAGAAGGCAGATCTCATTATTCATCAGCGAATTCACACTGGAGAGAAACCCTACATCTGCAATGAGTGTGGGAAAGGCTTCATCCAGAAAGGAAACCTCATTATTCATCAGCGGACTCACACCGGAGAGAAACCGTATGTTTGTGGCGAGTGTGGGAAAGGCTTCAGTCAGAAGTCGTGTCTCATCGGACATCAGAGATTTCACACAGGAAAGAGTCCCTTTGTGTGCAGTGAGTGTGGAAAACCGTATTCCCAGAAGTCAGGCCTCATTAGTCATCAGAAAATTCACACTGGCGTGAAACCCTTTCAGTGCAGCGAGTGTGGGAAAGCCTTCAACACGAAGCCAAAGCTTCGTGTCCATCAACGATCCCACACAGGAGAGACACCTTATGGCTGCAGCGAATGTGGCGAAGCATTCACCTACAAGTCATCTCTGTATTTACATAAACGAAAACACACGAGCGAGAGGCACGCGGATGCCATCAAAACGGAAGACTCAGTCACATTGGAAGACCCTTTTACGGGGAGTGGTGTGTCAGCCCACACTAGTGATTTCATGCCCGAGAAAAGCCCTGTTAACCCAGTAAGTATGCAGATGTCTTCTGGGGCCGCTCCAGTACCAGTAACCATGAATGGGTTCCTGCCAAATGGAAATGTCTTCTTTGTGGGACAGCCTCTTGCCAGGAGTGAACCAGCAGGGGGCAGCAGAGAGTTCGCACAACAGAGAATCCTTATGAATGCCGTCAATATGGTGGTGCCTATGAATGCGGTGAATGTGGCAGTGCCTTCCATGTTTAATTACGTCTTATTTTATGCCCCACCAAACCCCTAGGATTCACTGAGAGTCACTGGAGAATAGGTAGGGATGAATAAAAACGTCTACCTCGTTGTATAGCTACCGAATGTGTATCCTGAGCAATTTATAGGATTTTCAATACCGGGGCATCCTCTCATCCTTATTTAACATAAATATGTGTATTGATAGCAAGCATAATCTGATTTTAATTGAAGCATATACACACAGATTGCTCTACTGTGTTAATTAAAACGAATGAAAGTCTAAGATCATGTCAACGGACAAAATAATGTGAATTTTTGAAACAGAAAAGATGATCAGTATCTGTAATGTCGCCTCGTGTGAGCTGCTGCTAAATCAGTTATGATTCATGTTGATGCCGAGTTATAATGAAAAATCACAGGGTGTAGTTGGTGGATAAAGGGTAGTGTTAGATTGATGGAAATTGGGATACTCGCATATTAGTTCAGATTGTCCAAATTAGTGTGAAGGAACAATTGAAAACCGGAATGGCTGCCGTCTATTTTCTGTTAAACAGAGATTCCTGTGAGACAGTAGACCTACATTGAGTCCATTGATGAATGTCAGGAATATTTGTCACATACTGCCTTTGTCCCTGACCCTATTTTTTTTTTTTTTTCATGTTTTATTGTGAATTATATGATATTTTATGTGGGAGAACTTTAGTTTTACATTTATTCCACCGTACATCGTTTCATTGCCATGGTTCCAATCCCCTGCATGCATCATCAACTGACCAAAGGTATACCCTACAAACCCGCCCTCTACACTTCCTCCCCGCCTCATTCTTCAGCACACAGTCCCTCTCCCTCTCTGGATCCAAAGTCCCCAGCCGCTTCATTACTCCACGTCATTGTCTTTGCCTCCATCTCGGGCCTCGGCCTCGCTGCTTCTCTGGGTAGGGTCCCGCTTTCGGCTCCTCTCCGTTGATGGTCCTAGAGACCTCTGCTCCTAGACTGGAGAGTTAATCACTCCCTTCCTTGCTACAAAAAGTCTACCTTTACATTTCCAACCCTCACAATCAGTCCTGATAACAATCATTCACTATTGTATCACAAGTGACCCTTCTGTATTTCATTTCATCAGCTCCACCTAGACAGATTGGATAGTACTCGCTGGAAATTCTACCTTCCTCCATGCCCCCTAGCTCTAGGTTCCCTCTTGAAAGCTTGTAAGCCAGTCACTTCTTGCCTTTGTAGTCCCCCTCCCCCCCATTTGGGTATCCAATGTCCAAGTTGCCCATCCCTGTCTACTCTGTGTGTGGAGGGGGTGGCAATGTTTCTTGCTGTAAGGATTTGTTCCCTCTTTTGGGTTACTGCATCCATAGGTGTAGGTCAAGTTCATCAAATTGTATCAGATCACTTTTTTTTGTTTTTTTCCCTTTCTTCTCCTGGTTGAGTTCTGATCATCCATTCATTGGGACCAGGTCACGTGGGTACCATCTGCAGGTGTGAGTGTTCTTGTGCATATGCCCTCTCTTCCTATCAGCTGGTAGCTTCACTCTCCACTCTAGTTCTCTGTGGCCTCGCAGCTGACTCTGGGCCCAGGAGTCCCCAGGTCTCCCCACACTGCTGGCCTGGCCTTACTTTTAGGAGGCATTGCTACAGTGGTGAATAACAAATTAAAAAGTCCATGTTCTCTTGGGGAGGGCATTGAGTGAGTTAGAGTATATGTAAGAGGACTCTTAATCTAGTCAGAGGATGAGTCAATGTTTACATTAGGTGAAATAGACATAGAGAAATAGGTACATGGTATTTAGTTAGAAGTCTTATGAGTTAGAAAAATCCTAAAAACTTCTCATGAAAATTTATCTCGTGACTGTTGATTCCTCCTCATTGATGGCCCCATGTATGTCAGAGGAGGACCCTGCTGCCTCTGGTTGCCCGTGGCTGGTTTTTCCAGAACTACATAACCAGGTCTTACTTTCTAGGTATGTCGGGGTGCACTCAAACCTCTGGCCTTTTGGGTTAGCAGCTGAGTGCATTAACCATTTACATTACAAATGGAGTTGAGGGGTAAGAACTCCTTTTAGTTGTACTTAACCATCATAGGAAACAAAGTATTTATTTTAATGCCCAGCTCTACTGTCTCTAAAGAGATTATAAATTTATTGATTGTTTTTGTGACTGTTGTAATGAAGTGAGTGCCTTTATGTGGCTCTTACCTTTGTTCTTGCTTTTTTTTTAAAGAAAAAATAATAATACCATAGGAGATGTTTTCCTCATTGTTTGGGGTTGGGTCTCCCAGGCTGTTTTCTACCCTAGTGGATTTGATACTTTTCCATAGGGGGTTCCCCTAGTTGGTTGACATTTCCTAGTAAACAACTCAATGACTTGATACTTTTGTCCTGCCCGCCTAATAATTAAGGAGACCTGAGTTGATTGACGACTCCTGGGTGACTGAGAATTGGTTAAACTCTAGTCTGTTGAGGGAGGGCGGTTTTGCTTCGCCACAGATGAGAATCAGGACACACAAATGGCAGATTGAGAACGGTTCAGGGGAGGAATGCTTTCTGGATGATAAAACAGATGCTGACTAAGAGCTGGAACAGCAGAGAAGACGAGGCACGTGGGAAGAGAGTGGTTGTGACCTTGATCAGTTAGCAGGGGAGCAGCTAATGGCAAAACCCGGCACTGATGAGAGACCCAACACCGGAGAAGCCCACCAACAAAGAACAGCTTTCAGAGCTGAGAACCCTGCTAGCCTGGCTGTGAGCTGGGCCAGTTGGTGACTGAAAGGCTGCCTGCAGGAAGCCAGTGGCCAGACACCCAGAAGGTACCAAGGTGTCTACAGAGAGGATCCAACAGCAGAGACCTGTCCAAGCATCAGCAGGGAGCAATTTTCTCCAAAGGTTATCCCTGTGAGAAAGCTGTCCAGACTGACCAGGTGCATCCTGGTTTTATCCTGTCACTTTGAAATCGATCCTGATTTTGAGTTGTAGCGTGTTACCTCCCTAATAAACCATGAAACTGTGAGTGTCATCTGTGTGGTCATTGAAATAAATGAACAAACCAAACCAAGAAGTGTCATTGGAGTGTCAGAAATGGTAAAGATATGGAGAGCAGAGGTGTGTCTCACTACAGTCTCATAGAAACGAGCTATGCTGATCTGGACTCTTACCTCCCAAGTATTTGGGCAAGTCCTTACGCTGCCCCACAGCTGTTTATCCCCAAGTTATTTTAAATCCTATTATAGTGTTTCTGAGTATTTGCACCCAAGTAGACTAGCCGCTCCTTGGAAACTCTAATAGAGGGTTGCTATGAGTCAGAACTGACTCCACAGTACTTAACAACAAGATGATCAATAACTTGATATCAATAACTACAATGACTACAATTTTTTAATTCAGTTCCTTTGTTGGGCTAGCCACATTTCACCTGTTCAGTAGCCATGTGTGACTATGTACTACACTGTACCGTGCAGTCACGTTTTCAGTTTCATCAATGTCTGGAGAGTGCATGCTGAGAGGAATCGCCATTATGTCTGTGCTGGAGAAATGATATTGGAGAGCAAGCACTAGTTTATGGTTTTAAATTTCACAGCACACAGAAAAGGCATATATTAGAAAGTAAGTGAACTGAGCCACTGCAAAGCAGTTTACAGAACAGAATTTCCCCCAGAGACATTTTCATGTATCATTTGAGAGACTCATTATAGAGCTACAAGCAGAAAAGAAGAAAAATGTCCAGAATAAGTCGACAGAAACAAAATAAGAGCCTTCCCCTCTAAGAATGGAATTATTTGTTGCTGTTGAGTCGATTCCAGCTCATGGAGACATGATGTGTGCAGAGTAAAACTTCTCCAGGGCTCAAGGCTGTGCCCTCTCAGAAGCGTCTCTTGTGAGGCAACTCTGGGTGGAGTTGAACCACCAAACTTTCGGTTATTATTACAAAGCTTAATCACTTGCTCCATTCTGGGACTCCAAGAAAGAAGGAAAGTATAGGAGATGGGAGAAGATGGGATCCTTATGGGGTACCTTGGAGTTGAATATGTCAATCTTGAAAGGTATGCCATTTCAAAGATTCTAGGTTCTCTGTGACTGGTTGAATTGAGACATGTGACTTAAGTTTATTTCTGCTCACTTTTCATTAAGGGTGGGGCTCTTCCCCTGTCTCCTCTACCCATGATTTCTCCTTAATCCCACATCCCGTGTTACATGGAATCTTGCTCAGAGGGACAGGGATGGAGATTTGCCCTGCTGTTTTGACCTCTAAGAACAGAGTCTGAAATCCCAGGTCAGTGGACAATTCAGTCCATCATTGTATAAAGCACTCATTTAACACGCTGGGAGCACATTGGGCAATATATCAGGCAAAGAAACATCTTTATGGACCAGTAACAATCTAGACTTGAGAGCACACACGAACGAGACTTAAAACGTAAGGGAGCAGCAATTGATGAGAAAAAGCAATCCCACCAAGTGTAGCAACAGTAAGGAGGAGCTGCAAGCAAGAATTCTCAGGGAAGGCTTTCTAAACATAATCCAAGGCAAGACTTCAGTATGCTGAGAGGAGCCAACCAGCGTAGCATTTGAAACCAGAAAATCACAGGACTGTTTCACAGTTTTATCTATGAGCTTTTTGACTCTGAATACTCAGATGCTTAGAAAAGAATGCATGGGGTCCAGGCCTATACATTTATAACAAGGCATTCTGCTGCTAACAATTTTTTTTTTTTAAGTGAAACATCAAAACTTCTTCAGCACAAGAAATGCCACATCATCAATTTAATTACTGGTTACATTTTTCTAGTATTGTTACCCTGAC